TTTTTTTTTTTAGGTACCAAGGATCAAACTCAGGACCTTGCGCTTTTGAGGCAGCAGTGGAGCCATTGAGCTAAATCCCTGGCCTCCAGCACCTTACAATTAAAAAAACCCCAAAAAACAAATTGCAGAATTGCTCAGACCACACATGGCATTTTGACTCAGCTGTCAAAGTGTTTTCAGAAAAAGGTCTGGATGCAGGCTAATCATCTGAAAGCTGAAGTGGTCCCCCTTTGAAGAGTGACATTTTGATTGTTAACAATGATTCTATAGTTTTAAAATTATGTGCTTTGCAGCCATGATTATTAGTCATCTTTTGGACCATTCTATAAGGAAGGACATTTTAAAGTTATAATGGTAATGTTGGGCTATATTCATTTGGCAAATATTAATTGATTGCTTATTATGTCCCAGGCACTTTCTAGATCAGAACAATCCAATACAATACAATGTGAGGCAGAAAAGCTAACCACATTTGAAAATAATGTGAAAAATTTTAGTAGCCACATTACATTAAACAAGCAAAAATAAATCAGTTAAATTATTATTATTATTATTATTATTTGGTACCAGGGATCGTGTGAGTGAAATTATTATTAATAATGTCTTTTATTAACCCAATACTTGCACAATATCATTCTGACATATAATCGCAGTTATACGTCGCTAGATGATGGGGATACATTCTGAGAAATATGTAGTGAGGCGTCTCACTGTCGCATGGCCGTCACAGAGCACACTTACACAAACCTTGATGGCAAAGCCTACTTCACACCTAGATTGTCTGGTACATACATGGTATGTGTGGCCCATCATCGACTGAAAGGTTCTTACGAAATGCATGTTTGGAGTGTAAAGTTATTAATATGATATTTTACATTTTTTTTTTGTATTAAGTCTTTGAGAAAGCCTTTCTCCTTCAACTTTCAAGGCTAATTTTTCAGGGTACAGAATTCTTTAAATTCTTCAGCACTTTAAATATTTCACTCCACACTCATATGGTTTCTGAGAAGTTGGATGGAATTTTTATTTTTGCTTTGATACAGGGAAGGTGTCATCCTCCCTCCCCCCATTAGCTTCTTTTTTGGGGGGGTAGCAGGGTCAAACTCAGGACCTTGTGCTTGAGAGGCAGGTGAGGTGCAGGAGCTAACTCCTCCCCCCTTTAGCTTCTTTCGGGATTTTTTTTCTTTATCTTTTATTTTTTCCATTTTAATATGATATGTCATAGTATAGTTTTGTTTTGTTTTTTTCCCGTTCGGCTTGCTTGCTGTATTCTGAGCCTCCTAGATTTCTGGTTTGGTGTAACATTAATTTTGGAGAAACTCTCAGCCATTATTGTTTCAAATATTTCTTCTATCTCTTCCTCCTCCTCCTTCTCCTCCTCCTCCTCTTCTTCAGTACTGGGCATTGAATCCAAGGGTGTTCTACCAGTCCTCCCACCAGATGGCTTCAAGGCTAGGGAGCTGCATTCCCAGACTTTTTTATATTTTATTTTGAGATAGTGCCTTGGTAAATTGCCTGGGCTGGCCTTGAACTTGCAATTTTTCTGCCTCAGCTTCTCCAGTAGCTGGGATTATAGGAATGTGCCACTGTGCCTGGCTTCTTTCTTCTCCTTTGGCATTTCTGCCATGCATTTATTACACTGCTATAGTTTGGATATTAAATGTCCCTCAAAAATCCAAATATTAAGATTGTGGTCCCCAGGGTATTGTTACTGGGAGGTGGTGGACACTTTAGGAGGTAGGTCATTAGGTCTTTGGAGTGTCCCCTTGAAGGGGACTGTGGGAACCCAGCTGCTTTCTCCTTTTTGCTTCCTGAACATAAGGCAAGCAGTTTGCTGTACCACGCACTCCCTGCCATTACTATCTGGCACATCTACCAGAGGCCCAAACCAATGGGTCTACCCTGTCTTGGGCTTGAACCTCCAAAACTATGAGAGAAAATATAGCTTTTCTTCTTATAAGTTAATTATCTCAGGTATTTTGTTAGCGTGATGGAAAGCTGACTAATATGTACACCTATTGTATAATTGTTCCACAATTCTTGGATTCCTGCATTTTTTTTCCTTTAGTCTTTTTTCCTCTTTGCTTTTCAGCTTCAGCAAGCATTCCTTAAACTCAGAGATATGTTCCTTAATCTGTGTAGAGTCTATTAATAAGCTCACTAAAGACATTCTTCATTTCCTTTACAGTGTATTTGATCTACAGCATTTTTTTTCTTAGAATTTTCATTTTTCTGCTTATATTACCTATCCTTGCAATGCTGTTCTACTTCATCTGTTAGAGCTTTTAGTGTATAGTTGTTGTTTTAGTGTATAGTATAGTGTCTTAGTTGTTGTATATTCCTGGCCTGGTAGTTCCAATACCCCTGCCATATCTAAACCTAGTTCTATGACTAGCTCTGTCTCTTTGGATTGTGTTTTTCACCTTTGTTTGCCTTGTAACTTTTTCTTGATAGCTGGACATGATGTAATAGGAACTGCTATAGGTAGGCCTTTAGTAACATCTTGGTAAGATGTGAGAAAAAGGAAGCATTCCTTTGAGTCTCAGTGTCTTAGCCTGTGCTTCTGGACTGTGAACTTCGTACAAGCTTCTCAGTCCTCCTACCAAATGGCTACAAGGGGCTGGAGTTGATATCTCCCTTCTCCCAGTTTAGTTAGACTCTGGTTAAATCCTTTCTCCTGAGGGCAGAACAGTCCTCTGGCATATATCAAAATGCTTACTTTTTCCCTCTACCTGTTAGAAGTGTGAAGAGATTTTTCTCTGATATTCACTCTAAGAACATGGTTGAGCTCCTGCAGATAAAACTCACAAAAGCATGGAAACACCCATATAACTGGGTTCCCCTAGAGTTTTTTACTTTCAGATTTGTCCACACTGAGCCTCCAGCAATTCACTAATTACAGGCTGGGTTTCTGTACCCTGCACTGGTTCCCACAGAGGTTTCTGTACATGAATCTTTGCTCTAGGAATTGTGATTCTCTTTATTTTCCTGTCTCTCCAATTTTAGGGGCAGAGTTTGCCCTGTGAGCTCTCTTTTCTTATGGATCTAAGAATTGTTGACTTTTCAGTTTGTTCAGCTTTTTGCTTGCTGAAGACAGAGTAGAGACTTCCAAGCTTTTTACATGCTGATCTGGAAAGCATATTAAGTCTTCGAAATGTGATGTGTGCTATGGTTTGGGTATGGTTTGTTTCCCCAAAGCGGTCATGTTTTTGAATTTAATTTTCATTGTTATGGTTTGGGTGTCTCTCAAAGGTCCCTGTGTCACAGTTTGGTCCCCAGGGTAGTGTTATTGGGAGATGGTTGAGGCTTTAGGAGGTGGAGCCTACTGAGAGGTCCTAGGGTCATTGGGGTCATGGCCTTGAAGGGCACCATGGGGGCCCAATCTCTTTCTCTGTCCTGGCTGAAGAGGTGAGAAATTTTCTCCACTACATGTTCTTATTATAATGTGCTCTCCAGAGGCCCAAAGTAATTGGGACCACTTAATCGTTTTTTTTTTTTTTTTGTACTGGGGATCGAACTTGGGTCCTTGTGCTTGTGCAGCAGGCGGCAAAACCACTGAGCTAAATCCCCGGCCCATGGGACCACTTAATCTTGGAGAATCAATTTTTGGAGACCAGAATCTCTATGAGCCAAATATCCCTTTTTTAAATAAGGTAATTGCCTCAGGCATTTCATTATAGTGTCCAAAAGCCGACTAACACACTCATTGTGAAACATATTAAAAAGGTGGGGACAATCTGACTGGTATGAGGTGGTGCTTTTGGGAAGTGATTAGGATTAAATAAGGTCATCATGATTGATTGACTTCTGGTGGTTTATAAGAAGAGGGAGGGAGATCAGAACACATATGCATGTGTACTCCCTTGTCTCTTGCCACATGATGCTAATCCCACCACAGGACTCTGCCAGGACGAAGGCCATAATGTGGGCCCTTAAACTTATAGAACAGACGAGTGAACTAAATAGACTTCTGGGGCTTTTTTTGTTCTTTTTTTTTGGTTTCCATCATTAGGAAAAGGGCTACAGCATGGACTGTTACTGCTCCTGTGACCCCAAATCTCTTTCAAAGTTGCCCAGCTTTGGGTATTTTTTTATAATGTTGAAAAATAGATTAAAATAGTGTGCATTTAACATTAAATTATATGATATTTGCCAGGGATTTAGCTCAGTGGTCCTGTTGCCTGCCTCATAAGCGCAAGGTCCCAAGTTCAATCTCTAGTACAAAAAAAAAGAACTTATATGATATTTTATACTTTTTTTGGTACCAAGTATTTAGTGTATATTTAGCACTTATAACATATGTTGATTAGAACTGCCTATTTTCTCATTAGCCACATGTGGCTCGTGGCTTCTATACTGGAGAGTATACTTCTAAGTGGAACCCTGTTTGCCTGAGGATTAGATGATTAGCTATCATCTTGGGCATAAATTACCTTCCCACATGAGATTAACTAACTTTTTCACAGTAATAGAAAGGCAATCCAAATGCCCCAGTGGAGTTTTCTCCACTTATCCTATACCTTGATTCACTAGGTATTAAAAAGCACACACTAAACATTTGCTACATGCTTATTATCCTTAGGTAAAGCAATTCTTTATTATCCTAGAGTTATTTGATATTTAAACTGGGGCTATTTCCTCCAAGATCTTGAATTTTTTTTTCTTTTTGCTATTAAACTTAAATTACTTCAGCAAATTTGGGCATGGAACTTTTTCAGACTTCTTGCTATTTCTGTGTGTCCAATTGGCTTCTTTAGCTTCTTAATTTTGTCCCTGACAGCAGATGGCTTGGCGTTCTTGGCCCAGGATAACCAAGACTTCCCAAATCTTCACTGTTCCAATTTAAGTGACTGCCTTCTTAAAGAAGTGAGCTAAAGGACACTCTCAGACTCATGTCACACACAGGCTTCTACATTCCTTAGGTCAGGGAAAGTGAGTTTCTTCCTGCCTGGTACCTCTAACCTACATTAGTCTGTGGGGGCAGAGTGAGTATTTCTCACCCATGATTGCTGGTGCTTTTGGTAGAACTCTGTCATGTTAAACTCATCCGGGTTGACCAGCAGGTCTTGCTTACACATCTCACAGATCTTCACAGCATTTAGATCTGCTCCTTGAATTCAACAAAGAATTATATGTAAGAGACTAGATCTTAAGTGTTCTCACCACACACACACACACACACACACACACACACACTCACACACTCACATACACATAAGAGAATTTTATGTACATACAGCCCTAGGTCTGTTTGCGTTGGAACTTTGGATGGGTGATATTTTGAGACAGAATTTGAGTGTGTTATGAATTCTGACCTTCAGTGACCTTCATTTAAAGTCTGTAGAAAATGGCCTTGAATCTGAGATCTAAAAAATTTCCTTTGTAATCATTTATAATGCAAGCTTTGTATAAGTGAAATTCCCATGACTTTTAAATAACAAGTCTTGTTTCTATTTAAATATAAACGTAATGGTTCATAAAACTGGAATTGCTACATGGAAGTTAAGAGTCTTTACAAACTCACAGGTATTTACAAAAGGAGTAAATACTGGGCCTATTTTTTTTCTTTCTTTCTTGTAGACCTAACATAGATCCAGGTAAATAAATTCTTGAGGACTAATTAGATGCCAGAAGCTGTCCTTAGTCAAGGGCTTAAAAATCTCCATTTACTCCCACCCAGGTGACATTCTTCCCTGAGAAAAGTTACAGTAATATTTAGGGCCAGCACCTAAGCATAGGAAAAGAAACATGAGAAGGATTCCTGGGTTGATATTTTTATAAAAATGTGCATTTCGCCAGGGATTTAGCTCAGTGGTTCTGCCGCCTGCCTCACAAGCACAAGGTTCCAAGTTCGATCCCCGGTACCAAAGAAAGAAAAAACAAAAAAACCCCCACCAAAAACAAAATAAAAACGTGCATTTCAGAGCAGCACTTTTTCTTCACTTACCCTACTCTCCAGCACAAGAATAGGAGCAGCAGAACTGTGGCAGTTGTATCTAAGCCACATGCTGTACATTTTCCTCCTAGTGTAGATGCTGCATTTTGACTGATGATATACTGGTATTTATTTTGTGCATTAGAAAACAGAGGATTTATTAGTTATTTGCATCTACTTAGTAATTAGAGCCTGTATAGGTTCACACTCCAGTTCTATTTCCCCACTGGGGACATAAAGAAATAGTAAATAACAGAGACTTTTAAAGGACAAGGATGAATAGTAATCCCTTATCGGCATTTTGTTTGCTTGATTTTTCTTTTTTTCCATCATTGAAATATGCTTTTGGTTATTGAACATCCTGTGTGTCTTCCAACATAATTCTGCCAAACATATCTATACCAGTGTCTGCATCTAACCTCATTTTCATGACACATTTCACCGATCCTTTTTTTTTCTAGATGTTTTATTGGACCAAATTTCTAGTAAGATAAAACATTGTATAGCAGAATCAGTAGTAATCAAAATCCACTTTTTTGTTTTGTTTTGCAGATAGTTATTTGCTTGCTTTGAAGATACACATTTAGACATCTCAGGATTAATCCTATATTTCTCATGCTAGGGAAAAAAGCACACATGGAAACAGAGCTTTAGGGAGGAGACAGTTAATATAATTATACCATGTGTTCATTCTCTGATTAAACAGTGCACTGTCCTTGGTGAAGGGGCTTGGCAACACTTCACCAGGACAGGGTAAAACTCCAGGTCTCACAGGTGGCCTGCAATATTGAGAAGAATGTAGCCAAAGAGAAAAACAGGATTTGGTCATGGAGTAAGATTTTCAGAGAGGTATGTCTGAAAGACAGCAGTTATTTTCTAATACCTTGTTTTTCTTGTTAAAATTGTGTTCATTTCTAAAGCTGTATTTTTGTTTTTGTTTTTTTGTAGCAGGAATCGAACTCGGGTCCTTGCACTTGTGAGGCAGGTGGTGGAACCACTGAGCTAAATCCCCGGCCCTCTAAAGCCATGTTTTAAAGAAACCTATTTTCTACCAGGAAACTACAGCTGATCTACCAATGTGGCTATATTTAGGCTACAACTTCCCCAGGGAGTTGAAAAGGGGCTTTACACCCAGTTATACGATCAAGCTGACACAATCAGCACATGGAAATATCTTTATCTAATGTAGGTATACAAAATCAGATCAACATTCTTATCCTGTTGCAAACAGGCAGCTGTGCTGGGTTTCCTAGGTAACACCCATCCTCCTTCACCCAAATAAAAGGAAGTAGAATTGTGTGCATTTTTGGGTGTCTCATGATGCACTTTCTGGGTCGTTTCTACTAAGTGCCTACTACTTGGACATGGCTACTGCATGCCTGATGAGGTTCAGCACTGACCACCCACTTCTGTTTCCTCTTTGGAGGTGATCTTAGCATCTCCGCTCAGAACTCAAGCAGGAATAGGATCCAATAGCAAATATTTCTAGGATTCTTCTCTCAGACTTGAAAAACTTTCATTTCTTTCCCATAATTTGAAGGCAGCATTTCTGAGGAAGAATCCTGAGTTTGGCCATGTTTCCCTGAAAGTGAGCAATTGACAAGCTCCAAGGACCACAATGTGGTGTCTCAGATTAATTATATGTCATTGCATGTGTGCCACTCTTCCTTCCCCACCTACCTGATGTTATCTTCACTTTCAGCCACTTTTTCAGGCACTTTTGGTGAACAAATCGCAGGCTTCCCACACAGCTGCAAGGCTCCAGGAGGGAGATGGTTGGGGAACCCCCAGCCATCTGACAGATTCGACACAAGTCTCCCTCCTCCTCTGAGTCCTCCTCCAGGAGACTAAGTGGAAAACAAGCCATCGTGACCAAGAGTCTCTACTTTGCAGTTTCTGCAAATATACTGTTATTCGGTCATTTATGGGAGAGGGGAGAGGGAGCAACGCTCCCACGCTTTTATTGCTGGGGCTTTTGGAGCTCACCCTCTTCTCTCTCTGACCCTGGTAAGAATTCCTTCAGATGGAGCTACTGATAATCAATGCACAAATTCAGGCTACTCTGCAGTTGTTATATGTGTGAGCTGACTAGGAGAATTGAGAAGTGAAGCCCAGATGTCAAATCTCAGCACTCACCCTAGGATGCTGGGGGAAGAGGATCGCAAGTTTGAGCCCACCCTGGGCAACTTAAGAGACTTAGTGAAACTCTGTCTTTTAATGAATGAATGAATGAATGAATAAATAAATAAATGTAAACTTAAATTTAAAAATGGGTGAGGGTGTTTATCAAGGTGAAGGCCCTAGGTTCAATCCCCTGGGATGGGGGTGGTGAAGACAGGGGTAGATTTGGGGATGCGGCTAAGTGACACAGAGTTCTTGCCTAGCATTTGGGAGCCCTGAGTTCAATGTCCAGCACTGGAGGGGGAAAAAGAAAAAAGGAAGCAATGGATAAGCCTGTGGTTAAGGCCAAGAGGCCTCATGCCATGGCCACAAGGAGGAAATTGGTGATATGGAATATTGGTGAGCTTATGAAACTTGTGGTCAGGGGTCTTGGGTTTGAGGCCTGCCTCTCAAACTGTTGAATCATGTGACTCTGAACAAGTTCCTTTAATCTTCCCAAGACTCTATTTCCTCTTTAAGATGAGGTGAGGCTCATGGTGGCATTGATACTGTAGTTGCCAACTCTGCGGGGTTGTAGGATGATGGCACACCTGTTGTGCAAACTAAAGTGCACCCTGTGTCTGGCAAAGCATCACACACAGGGGCCCCCTTGATAGGTGTTGGATAAATGAACCAACAAAACTGAATGTGAGCTCACCAGTAACACAACCCTTGCCAACAACTGAGGTCCACATTCCAGAATGTAAGCTACTGGAATTTGATAAAGGCAGAATTAATTAAAATGTAAGCAAAAATAGAAGTGGTGAGTAAAGAATAGCTGGCTGCTGTTTATGTTGAGGCTTTAAGAGGCTTACAACTTCTTCCTTTTTTTTTTTTCTTTAGACTACTCACAAGATTGGAGGCAGTCTGGTCAAGGGAAGGAAACTGGCCGGGGACCAAAATCAAAGGAGAGGGAAAAAATGGGCAATGTTCTGGATATGGAAATGTATGCTCAGTTTCTTGGGACATCTTCCCCAAGAAAAACAAACTCAATGAAGAGAAGCAGAATTGTAATTTTCCCTTATGGATAGTCTGAATAATTACAGATATTTTTAGTATTGATATTTTAATTTATTTCAATATAATTTCCCATTTTCATAAATCTAGAATAACAAGTACACTATGGAGTAAATGCCTCAACTGATGAAGATAAACTACAGGGAAACCTAATAAATCTAAGAAAATAGCCAGAAAAATAGCAGAAGAACTTTAGGGAAGTACAAGATAGCCTTTGGAAACAAGTGATCTAAATCAGTGGTTTTCAAATGAAAATAAAGATCATCAGGTTCACCTGTAGGCACTTTCAAGACAGGTTCCTGGGCTCTAGCCTTGGAGATCCAGGTTCAGTACTTAAGCAGCAGGTCTGGAGAGCACTGATCTAAGCAGCAGGATGGGGGCTCTACCATAAATTGTTTATAGTTTATGAATGCCTGACTCATAATTCCATCTTCTCAAAGGAATTAGTGGGAAGCTGTGGGTTAACATTTTTTTGGAGAAAAACCCCATATTTTTACAAATAAAAGTAAAGAAGAGGGCCGGGGATTTAGCTCAGTGGTTTCACCGCCGGCCTAGCAAGCTCAAGGACCCGAGTTTGATCGCCGGTACCAAAAAAAAAAAAAAAGAAACAAAGAAAAAATGAAGCATAAAGTCATTACCCCCAAGTAGCTAGCTGCATACTAGTAGTCTGGAGTACCACCTTACCTCGGTGCACATCCTGTTTTTACAGAGGTGAGCTTGCTCTTGGGATTAGATCAAGACAGCAGGTAAAGGACCTCCATCTATGTCCCTATCTCTTAAAAAACCCCGGACAGATAATTACATAGAATGAATCCACAACAGTGTTGGAAAACAAGCAGACCAGAAATTATGATGACACTGACCAGAGGAGAGGAAACTATAATCCAACACATGGCCATGGGCGCAAACTATTAGGAAGGGAAAAGCAGATCCAGAGGGATTCCCAGCTGGAGGATGGAGTAGGCACCAACTCATGGGATGCAGGAATTAGAAGGTAATACTAGGGCCGGGGATGTAGCTCAGTGGTGAAGTGCATGCCTGGCAAATGCGAGGCCCTGAGTTCAATTTCAGGTACAAAAAAACAGAAGGTAGCTACTAGTTGAAGACCTGATTCAGAATGGTGGGGCTAAGTATCCTGAGGAGCAGTGGCTCCAGTGCCTTTTCCTAGGCCAACACCCTGGAATTTAGCACTAAAGAAAGGGAACTCTCCATAAAGCCCAAAGTTTAAAAATAAGCTTATGATTATCATCTATTTACACAAAAGCTCCCTTTTAGGGAAGAGGATCCCAGAGGCAGCAAGGCACACAGCTGTTGGTGGCGACTATGTTGGCTGCCTCTTTTTACTAAACCACCCATTACTTCCTTATGAAACAGTTGGGATTGCCTGTCAGCAAAAAGAAAATAGAGTCAGTCAACCCTATCAGAAATGCACAGTTCACAGGCTGGGAATTTAGCTCAGTGGTTCCACCGCCTGCCTTGCAAGCATAAGGTCCCCAGTTCTATCCCCAGTACCAAAAAAAAAAAAAAAAAATGCACAGTTCAGGAGGTGGAGGATTTAACTCTCAGGAAGATTCCAGAGCATGTTGCCCACTGCTATGTAAAAGAAGCAACCATAGGTAAGAAGGATTTCTAGGGAGTCAAAAAAGTATGATTAATAAATTTTAAAAATCTCAGGTGTAAAATATAATTCAAAGCTAAAAGTATAATATTGCTCATTCTACCAAGAATATCTGAGTCATTACATTTAATGAGCTAAATAAAAAGAAAATCTTATAAATACAAAGAATGGGGGTGAATCCAAATCACAGTGGGAGGTTTTAATAACTATTTTCCAAAAATGGACAAATTCAATAGAAAAGAATAAAGTATGAATATGTTTTTAAAGTATGAATATGTTTTTAAAGCTAATTTATATATATACATATCAACATTTTAGTCTCTGTAACTTGTTTTATATATATATGTTTTCTAATGCTGCAGCATATTTGTAAATATCAAATATGTATTGGGGCACAAAAAATATAGATTCCATTTTCTGGGATCACAATGTAATTCAATTAGGATGGGCAATACAAATTTTAAAATGAAGGCTAATAAAGGGAGAATTATATAAAATATTTTTAAAAATCCATAAATCTACAGTAAATAAAAGTGGATAGTGGATGCAGTATTTCAGGCAGATTAACGGAGTAGAAATGAAAGTTCATAGAGAGACTGAGAGGGATAATATATGCCAAGGAAGGCATTTCAGACTAGTAAGGAAGGATAGAATGACTGTGGGTCAATGGGCTAAAAGACATGAGGACCTCACCTCATACCATACACCAAAATATATTCCATATAAATGCAAGTATAGCTACTATGCATTAGGTGCTTACTGTGTGGTAGGCACCCTATAACATAAATATTTAAAACTTCATTTAATTTTCACTGCTCTTTGAGGAATGAATGAATATCTATATCTCTATCTATCTATCTTTCTGGACAGATTTCTAGAAACAAAAGAACTTGACCAAAATCATAGCTAATAGCTGATAGACTCAGGAATCAAACCATAAGAAAACAAAGCCCATATTTTTAACCTCTATGATGTATAAAATGAGTATAAAAATACTGAAGAAAATAACTATGAACATTTGAGTGATCATTGGGTTTTCTAACCATAGCACCAAATGCACAAGCCATAGGGAATACGTTGCCAGATTTGATTACAAATAATTAAAAAATTTTACATATTAGAAACATTCACATAAAATGGGAAAAAGAAAAAAGTATCTGCCTATTATTTGGCAGTGGATTACTAATGATTTTATTTAAAAGTGTTTATATATTCTAGTAGATAAAAACAATACTAATATCCCAACCAAAAAAATGGACAGAGGACATGATCAGGTAATAATGAATGAAGAAATAAACATTAACAGTATACATAGAAAAAGTTCAATATCACTAATCATACAGTTTGCATAATGAACTCATCACAATCTTTGGCTAATCATTTGACAAATATGAAATCCCTGGAATTGGCAAGGTTGTAAAAAAAAAAAGACTCAATAGAGTGCTGAGACTGTAAACGTGTAGAACTTTCTTGAAGAGTAAATTGATAATACATATTGAAAACCTTAAGAATGTGCATTCCTTCTCATTAGAGGTTACACATTTAGGAAGCTATTTTTAAGTAATTAATTATGGATATGCTCAAAAAAGAGATGGCTCAAATAACAACAAACACATTCAATATAAAATCAACAGAATTTAAAAATTGTTATATAAATTATAAAATATATATGTCATCTAAATTATATCTGTAAATTATACATCTGTAAGATACAAACATATATACATATATATAAGCTATATGTCTTATAAGATTAAAGAGTACCAAAAATATAAGATTTGGAAGGAAAGAGGCTAAAATATTCACAACTGAAATTATTTGCTACATAGAAAATCCAAATACTAATCTATAGGCCAAATATTATAATTAATAATAAGGTTTAGCAAAAATACAGAGAAAATAGTCAATTACATTTGTATACATCAATGTCAGAGAGTTAAAAGTGGAATTTAAAATATTGTTTGAATAGTAAATAGCAGTAAATAGAATCTAAGATAAAGGGCTTTTAGAAGAAAATCACAAAACCACATTGAAAGGCATTAAAGATGACATAATTATTAGAGAAAGAATCAATATTTCAAAATTGTCAGTTCTCCAAGAATAACCTATAGATTCAATATAATTCCAGCAAAAATCCCAATAACAGACTCCAAAATATATAGTCAGGAACTCTTTAAAGAACACTGTGGGGAGGAAGACTTTGCACCATCACTTATTAAAGCATGCAGACATTAAGATGATATGGTATTAGAAAGATACAAAAGACCAATGGAAGAGAATGGAGAGCCCTAGAAGAGACACGTCATGCATGGCAGAGGTGGCTGTGCAGATCAGCAGGGAAAACGCTGGGACAATTGTATGTTTATAAGGGGAAAAATAAAACTTACCTCATATCACATATTAAAAATCATTTCACATAAATACAAAACCTATTCATTTCATTTAAATCTTAAATGTACAACTAGAAATTTTAAAAGAAAACAGAAAGAATGTCATAATGATCTCAGCTTAGGAACGTATTTCTTTTTTTTTTTGGTACTGGGGATCGAACTTGGAACCTTGCACTTGCGAGGCAGGCGGTGCCACCACTGAGCTAAATCCCCAGCCCAGGAGCATATTTCTTAATGAAAATGAGATATCTAGTTATAATCCACATGGAAGATGAACACATTTGATTATGTGTAAATGAAGAATTCATTTTTATCAAAATACATCATAGAAAGACAAACTGCCAATTGGGAAATATTTCCAATACTAACTTTCAAAGGATCAGATTAGTAGCTAGAATATATAAAGCACTCCCAAAATAAAAGAAAGATAAACAAAAAATATAAATATTTCACGGAATAGGAAACACAAGAAAGCGCATAAAGTGCCTAACCTCATTATCAGTTATGAAAATGCAAATTAAAGATACAATATCATTCTATTCCCATCAGATTGGCAAATTGGAAGGGCAATCAATGTAAGTATTGTCAAGGATGTACAACATTAGATATTACTGGACAACAGATTGGGATTGTTTCGTATACTGGAAGGTGTGCAACCCTCCTGCCCAGCAATGTACTCTTGGCCAAATATCCCAGAGAATTCTTCCCATACGTAAATGTCTTTGAATTTACAAAGATGTTCTTGCAGTGCTCTGTTTGCAGAAATAATGAACAATCCAAATGTCTGACAGAATGACTAAATGCATTTGTATGTGGTAAAAGTGAAAAAAATAAAGCCAAAATGCCAACAACCATGCAGATCACTAATGCAGTAAGGGGAAAATTCAAATCACAGAAGAATAGAGCTTCCACTTCTACAGAGTCCAAAGATAATATTAACATTTCTACAGAATTCAAAAATATACACAATGGTTTAGAAACACATACATACATGTAGTAAAAAAATAGAGTAGAACATCTCCTAAACACTATAAAACTAAAAGCAAAGGGATGATAAATGCAATGCAGGAATGGTCACTGTGGAGTGGGGGGAGGTGACGGGGAGACAAAGAAGCTGGGTAGGTGAGGGGCTTGGGAGAGCTCTAGAATGTGAAGAATGTTATGTTAGCTAAGGGTGGATATAAGGATATCTGCCTTTTCTGGGTGTGTGTTTTTAAAAAATTCTTTATAAAATATATATGAATACATATACACACATATGTATATGTTTATATATATACATATACACATTTATTTGTATATATTAAAATACATTAATTAAAATATATTAAGTGGCATTGATAAATGGGTCTTGAAATAGAAATGTCATTTTATAAAACAGTATGAGCCAATGTTTACTAAAATTGCACCCATGTGCAAAAACAGAAGACTGGAAGTTGGGCATGGTGGTGCACATTTGTAATCCCAGCACTTCAGGAGCCTGAGGCAAGAGGATCAAGAGTTCAAGGGCCGGGGATTTAGCTCAGTGGTTTTGCTGCCTGCTGCCCTTCTGCACAAGTGCAAGGATCTGAGTTCAATCCCCGGTACCAAAAAAAAAAAAAAAAAAAAAAAGTTCAAGCCCCACCAGGGCAACTTAGCAACTTAGTGAGATCCTGGCTCAAATTTTAAAAGGGGCTGGGAATATAGTTCAGTGTGAAGGCCCTGGGTTCAATCCCTAGTATGGCCCCCTCCCACACACAAAGACTGAAAATGCTTTCAACAGTGTAGGTGTTTTTCTTTTATGTCATTTAAAAATATTTCCTAAAATAGACACTTTTGAAATAATGAGAAAAATATATAGTTTATTATACACAGAAAGAGAGCATCTGATAAACTAAGTCCTCTATAAATAATAGCTATTTAATGCATTAGCATGCCTTAAAGTGCATGCAATTTAAAAGAAATTATTTTGAGCCCAAAGGCATCACTTTGGGGTGGGAGGAGTTCAGACTTCTGACATTTATGTCTGAAGCCATCTTTTTGGGTTGTCAATTGAGGATGAGCGGGCATGAGGCCTCTTAACCATGGGTCTCTCTTCTGGTAGCTTTCTTACTATGGAAAAGAAAAGGTCCTGGCAACTAGAAAAGTCTTCATTTCTGGTGTTAGATAAAAGACATGGAGGAGTATATATGCAGTCTTTGTTTCATTCTTCACTCCTTTTTTTCATTTTTAATTCATTGCCATGGAATTCTCCTGCTTACAAGTGAATATCAATAGGATAATTAATGGCCCAAATGAGCCATACTAACTTACAAAGAGGGCTCACATTCCAAGAATCAATTTCCAGATCAGTAAGCCAAGATTAGTAAACACCTATCATACATGAAATGGTAAAATTCTGACACAGTGCTTAAGGATGGCTTTAAAAAGTATCCAATTTTATAGCTGTGAAATATCCCAAAATCACTTCATGAGAAAGGAAAGATCAAAGAAAAGGGCAATTTAAAAAGGATATTGTTTTTCTTTGTCTAATGTATGAGAAAGAGCACATAAAATAGAGGCAGTGGGTACCCTGGCACAGGCCTTTAGAGAACTGAAGTAACTATGGTAACTGTTTGGAACCAGTCTTTTAGTTTGGAAGGTTCAAATTCTAGAACTGCTAGTTAGATTTGCAATAAGTCCCATGAGGGAGAGCTGTGAACTTCAAGTGCTGAATGGTTCATTCTCTGGGGGAGATAGCAACCTTTTCATAAAAAATCCTGGTTCCTAATTGCTGGGGAGAAGAGTTAGCCCCATGTAGCTGTCAGAAATCCTTATACCTAGCAGACTTTCCTGTCTTAAAGTTATGGGGTTCAAGAAAAAAAAACACTTTAGGAATACGGAAAGAATTGAACAGGAACAGCAAACTCTATACACATATATTTTAAGAGCAACAGAATAGGGACACTTTTCTCAAAATACGCAATCATTAAAATGTCAAGGAAGAGCCTATCTATGATTCAAAATTCCTGTGACTCTCTCCTAAAAGCAATGCTTATTTCAGCATTGGAAAAATAGAAAAAAAAGTATGCATATTATGTATATAAGTATACCTTTCTCGCAAATTTTTGAGTTTCTCAGGGTCTGCCTTTTTCTCAGTGGCGCCCTTTCCATTTGTGAAACCAGAGACAGATGGGTGGTCTGTATTATTTTGATTTGGGAATTCAGATAATACTAAGAAAGTGAAAGGTACATTTTCTTGCAGGGACCCAAGCGCGTGCCAGTGATCTTGTAAGTTTCTTCTGGGTAGAGATGAGCAAGGAGAATCCACCAAGGACCTGCTGCCTTGAGGATTTAGTAAGAGCTCTGCATATAATGGAGCTCCCTGAGGCTGACTTGGTGGAGTAATGCCCTCTGCTCTCCTGACACCAAATTCGTGTGCACTGTTTCCTGGAAAATGATTGTGGTTTTCAGTACTGGCAAATGGACTCCTACCTCTAACAGGAGGCAGTTGCTGGGCATCACTGAACCTTGGGTCTAAAGTGTGACCCAAAGTAGATGGCATTGACAAGTCTGTTGGGACATGATCACTCAGAGCAATATGCATTAATGATCCAAGAGCATTATAAGGTGAATTCATTGATGATCTTGGTCTATCAGAAATTAAGTAATTTAGAAAATTTCTAGAACCATTTAAGTAGTCTTGGCAATCTCTTTCATAGTTACAGATACCAGGCCCATCATTCATAGAAATCCAATCACTAGATTCATTTTCAGCATTGAGATCATTGTCTGGGCTGGAATCAGATTTGGTGTTACATGAATCAAAGGTCTTTTTCTCGTTTCCATTGTCACTACTGTTGTTTTCTTCAGTAGACTCTCCATCAGGCAGCCTGGGCTCTTGGAACATCCTTTGACTGACAAAGACTGCTTTGTCACTGGCGCCATTGTATTGCTTATTCTTAATGAGCCCTGATTGGGCTTGCTTCTTAAAGAACTACCTCTGTAATGTTCAGCATTTTCTTCAAAATTTTTATTTTTGGCCCGAGTGGCAGATGTCCCAAGAAATTTACTTGGTTTATAATTGGAAGGAGAACAGGGAGACTGCATACTAACCAACAGAATTTCTTCTTCTGTGTAGGTTTCTTCTTCATTATTCAGTGATAACATGGAATAAAATTCTTCCTCTTGGAACCTAAATGGTGTCCTTCTTGGCCCTCCCATGGAGGTGGATGTGAGTGGTGGCCCCAAGGATCCACTGAGCACTTGAGGACTCCTCATTCTTTGGAAGGTCTGAGACAGGGCTGAATGTGGCTCATTCAGGGAAAGAGCATTTGGGTCTCCTTGTCGGGTTCCTTCAGCGGGGTTCTCAGCTGTCCTCATCAGCTGTGAGGATGAGATGAAATTTCTTTTCTCTTGCGTTGTCCTCTTCAGCTTCGTTTTGCCTGTCCATATCGAGTCTTCTTGATGAACTGCTGGATCTGCATTGAAAAAAGACAAATTCACTCTGTTAAAATGCCATGGATGAAAGTCCTCTACATCAAGCATGAGAAACTCTTAAAAAAAAAAAAGTCCTAGAGAATAAAATGTACGTGGCCAAAACAGTGGTAGGAACAGGAGGAGTCCAGCACAGCTGGCTTCTTTCACTGCTTCTAGGTTCTTCTTTCCATGTCTGTGAAGCTCATGCTGATTCTGGGGAAACAGGGTGACCCTGAGCATACAGATTCTTTTTGCAGAAACTTCAAGAAGACTGGTCTAGCTCCAGGCTAGCCAGGCCTGAGGATAGATAATCATCTCACTAAATACTGGTTTTCATTCTATATTAATTAAAAAGGAAAACCAGCATTCTGGGAATGACTTCCAGAAATTTAAGACCAACATTTATGACCAACATACATTTTTGACCCTCCTGCTTCACACACAGCTTTACAAAAGCTTAAGAAAATTAAATCTACCTTAGCAAATTGGCAGACTGGGAGGGAGGCTCTGGAAGCTGGTGCCCAGGTACACTGATGATGGTGGTCATGCTTACTATCTAATGAAAATAAAAATTATGCCTCTCTCAAGAAGTCACTATCTCCTCTTTGTCATTAGCCTCTAATAAACTCATAACCTCTGGCTATCACTGAACCTTTGGCTTCCCTACTCTTCCAGTTCTAAAGTTCTTCATGTGGAGAGAAGAGAGAGGTAAAGTGCCCATTGATAGGAATTACTATTGGTGGGATCACTTATTCAAACCTTGCCTTATAAAAAAAATAAATATGCATTACTTGTTGAGGGTATACACTGAGAAGGTCAGAACCATGCCAGGTATTATCACACATGTAGTTAAACCTCACAACCCTATGAAATAGGTACCACAATCATACCACATTAGAACTCAGAGTACCAAGGCATAGCGGGGGTCACATAATTTGCAATACAAGATCGTATTTCTAGTAACTGATGGAGTGAACACTTGAACCCAAGCCTGCTTGATGCTAGGGTTTGTGTTCTTAACCCCCGTCCTGTGTTATGTTATCCCTTAAGACACTGGACACAGCCTTTTCCATTTTCCTTGTGAAAACCAGGACCCATGGAATTTATGGCAGTGTAAGTGACTGAGGGTTTTTCACCCTGACAATGTGGGTACAAAATTGAAAGTACTTGTCTGATTCCTTCTCTTTATTCTGTCCTGATGGGATGTCCCCCATGGATTCCCTTCTCTGCTGTTCAGTGAATCTGCTGAGGCTTTGATGTCCTTATCACTTAGTTTTTAAAGCAGTTTTCCTGTGGAGTGGACAGGACACCAGGGGTCGGGGAAGGTCTGTGATAACAGCTCTGCTGGGAAAATGCAAATCCTCTGAGCAGCCAGCTCAGCCAAGGCCAAGTCAATACTGACTTGCTTTAATTGAGGCTGCTCACAGGGGAGCCCCGGCTCCAGTCTCTAATGTCCTAATGCTCTCTAAGCTTCTTTTATTATTAGCTGCATGGGACACTCAGTGACACAGTGCAAATCTTTACTCATCAGCTCTTCCTGAAATCAGTTAAACTCTCCTATCAGGCCCCTCATGGGGTTTTATAAACCCCAGTAAGAGATGTATCTGCAATTTAAGGCTGTTTTAAGCATCTGGCTATGTATGGAGCTGGCTTGCCTACCCTACTGGGCTGATCCACATTTGGAGACACTGATGCTTCTAGGTAACCAACTGAATGGGTTTTTTTGTTTGTTTGCTTATTTGAGAAAAATAAGTGATGTAAATTTAAGAATCAAAGTGTAGGCTCTGATTGATTGCTTTTCATTTTGAATTTGAAGAAGGGCTTCAGAAGTCAGCTAACAGCGCTGGAACCTGATGCTTCTGGTGGTTTCCTAAACACACAAACCCTGCTAGAGGATGAGGAGCTCCCAACTTTCCATGTTGACTCTGAGCAATTTAGCTCAGGCCTCCTCTGTCCAGGGAAGGGGGAGACACTGGAAACTCAACAGGAAATATGAGCTTATTTCATAGAAGCTTCCCACTGAGCTGTCATGGAGTGATACAGGCTACAACACTGTGGTGAAGCTCACACAGCTCCCTGAAACTCACCAGGGAATGGGTCTTCAGCCTTCCCTGACACCACAACTACTTTCTTCCTCTTTAAAAATGCAATCAATCCCTGGTACCAAAAAAAAAAGGACAATCAGAGCTACTCTGTTGTGTGTGTATGTGTGTGTCCAAATTGGTGTGTGCTCTCCCTAAAGGTGGCAGACTGCACCATTCTATATTTATGGTATTTCAATCCCATTTTTTGTGTCTATCAAAGAGGGAACAGATTTCAATAGCTCTGGGGCTGGGAATAAACACTGCAATTGCTGTGCCAGGGATGTGCTATTCATAGCCCGGGCCCTGCAGATGCTGGATGCTTCCCTGAGGCCCTGCTTGGGCTCCAGCTGTGGATGGAGGTGGCTGTCATCTCCAAGAGCTCCTGGTGCACGAAATGAAACCAGAACAAGTGTCTGCCTGCCTTAAGACTATGCCTTTGGTCTGGAATTCCTCGTATGCTTGACCAATAGTGTTCTACCTTCCAACAACCAACTTTTTACATTCCAACTTTTAATTTTTTTTCTTTGAGCTATAAAAATGGTCTATGGTCATTGGAGAAAATGTGGAAACTATAGAAGAGGATGAAATAATCCAAGTCTACTCATAATTAAAGCTCAGATAATCTTTGTTCCTGCTCTGGACTTCTGAGGGGAGTTGCAGACTCAAGACCCCAGGGTCATTTTCATCCTGCTCCAGCTCAGCATTTTAACAATGAATTAAACGCCATCAGGTGGTTTACCACAGGCCTCAAAACCCTTGTTTGTTTCCTTCCTTTTATGCCCACCTGCTCCTTGAAATCATTTGAATTTACAGCACAGATCTCCTTTATCTACAGATACAGGGTTACCTTCGTTCAGGAAATTAATTTGTTTTACAGTTTGGGGAAGATAGCCACCTTTGTGTTTGTGTGGGAAAGATGGCTGTGGTTGTGTTTGTTACATGATGTGGAGTTTGTGAGTGGAATCAAAATTTTGCCTAACACTTTTGTTTGAGAGCCAAATTGTTTGTGAACAGAAGCATTCATGAACTGAGGCATTACTGTATTTTTTTTTTTTAAATTGTGACATTTTCATTATATACAACTGTTTGTCCCACATTTTCCCCCCAAATATTTCATTGTGTGCTGTATCTCAGGTCATTAATGATTCTTTAAGAACATTATAGGTATAGTATAAGGTACATTGCATGAATATATCATACTTTGCTTAACTCCTCCCCTGTTCCTGGATATATAGATTGTTTTGTGGTTTTTGCTGTTGCACACCATGCTGTGATAAATAGCCTTGCTTGTATATTGTAAGAATGACATATATCATAAATGCATGTTGGATTTTGTCAAATGCTTTTTCTGCGTCTATGGAGATAATCATATGGTTTTTGTCCTTGGCTCTATTGACATAGTGTATTACATTG